AGTCCATAATCCCACTCTACTGCCTAGGCTGAAGTGCAGTGGCACGCTTATGGCTACCGCAGCCTCAGCCTGCTGAGTTCAGGTGATCCTTCCACCTCAGCCTTCCAAGGAGCTGGAACTACAGGTGCACGCCACCACACCTGGCTTTTTTTTTAATTTTTGACTTGGAGTCTCACTCTTGTCACCCAGGCTAGAGTGCAGTGGCATGCTCACGGTCACCACAGCCTCAACCTCCTGGGCTCAGGTGATCCTTCCACCTCAGTCTTCCAAGTAGCTGGAACTACAGACGCACACCACTACACCCGGCTAGTTTTTGTGTTCTATTGTAGAGATGAGGTCTCATCAAGTTGCCCAGACTGGTCTCAAACCCCTGGGCTCAGGCAATCCTTGCCTCGGCCTCCCAGAGTGCTGAGATTACAGGCTGAACCACCGCACCTGGCCTAATTTTTTTATATTTATTGTAGAGACAAGGTCACGCCATGTTGCCCAGGCTGGTCTCAAACCCATGGGCTCAGATAATTCTCTCACTTCAGCCTCCCAAAGTGCTGGGATTACCATGCCCAGCCCATTTTATATTTTTAAAAACTAAAGTATCTCTCCAAGATACTTAAGAAACACCAAGTAGTAAAATTGATCACTAGCATATAGAACAAACATTTATCCTATAATTATTAAGAACAGATCATCACTTCTATGGTATGTCTACGAAAAATGCATAACCCAACTCTAATCATAAGGAAGTAACAACCAGACTCAAATTGGAAATACTGCACAAAAGAATGGGCCTATATTCTTCAAATATGTCAATGTCATGAAATCGAGGACTAGTTGCATATTAAAAAAGACTAAAAAGCTAGCCGGGCTCAGTGCTCAGCCTGTAATCACACGACTTGGGAGGCTGAGGTGAGTGGCCACTGCACTCCAGTCTGGGTAACAGAGTGAGACTCTAACTCAAAAAAAAAAAAAAGACTAAAAAGCTATCATACTTAGTGATCTATCTATCACAGAAACAGAAAACTGAGCACCACATGTTCTCACTCATAAGCGGACCCTGAACAATTATCATAATGCTATAAGAAAAGGATTGGCAGTAGTGGGAAACTGCCAGGGGAGAGGGGTGAGATTGGCAGTAGTGGGAGAGAGCTGGGGGAGGGGGGCACACCTCATCAACAAGGATACCTCCATAATGAACATCTGTATACCTAACCCTGAATTGTACCCCACATCTTTAAAATTAAAAAGTAAGCAAAATAAGTCTTGTTAGACTTGGTGTGGCCATGTGCTCTTTGAGCTATGGCTGTCACCATGCTTCCTGGCTTTGGTCCCCTCCCCCACCATGGGGAGATGAATCTTCTCTCTTCTCTCTTCCTTCTCTTTCTCTAATTTATTTTTAAATAAGGTATATTTTTTTAATCTAAAAAAATTAAAATAAAAAAAGACTAGGCCAGGTGCAGTGGCTCACGCCTATAATCCCAGCACTTTGGGAAGCTGAGGTGAGAGGATTGCCTGAGACAACTTGGTGAGACCTCATCTCTACAATAAATCAAAAATTAGCTGGGAATGGTGACGCGTGCCTGTAGTTCCAGTTACTTGGAAGGCTGAGGCAAAAGGATCGCGCCACTGCCCTCCAGCCTAGGTGACAGAGTGAGACTCCAACTAAAAAATAAAAAAATAAAATAAATAAAAATAAAAAAGACTAAAAGGACTTGAAATCTGAATACAATATATGATCAAGGACTTACTTAGCTAAAAAGGATATTACTGAGAAAACTGGGAAAATATAAACATACTCCATAAATTAGTTCATTTTATTTATTTATTTACTTATTTTTTGAGTTGGAGTCTCACTATGTCGCCCAGACTGGAGTGCAGTGGCCGCTCCCAGCCACCGCAGCCTCAACCTGCTGGGCTCCGGCGATCCTTCCGCCTCAGCCTTCGGAGTAGCTGGAATTACAGGCCCGTGCTACCACGCCCAGCTGATTTTTGATTTACTGTAGAGATGAGGTCTCGCCGAGTTGCCCAGGCGGGTCTCGAACCCGCAGGCTCAGGCAATCCACTCATCTCAGCCTCCCCATTTTCTAATTTTTTATAATTTTACTGTGATTATATAAAAGAGGATCCTTGTTTTTTAAAAAAAATATGCACTGAAAGATTCTAGAATAAAGAAGCACCTTGTCTGCAACTTATTCTCAAAAGGTTCATGGCATAAACTATATAACAAGGAAGAAGAAAAGCAAAGTAAATGTAGAAATGTTAACATCTGGGGAATATGGAAGAAGGGTATTCAGGAATTATTAATACCAGTCTTAAAACAAAAAAACTATGTTAAAAAAAAACTGAAGTTCAAAGAGACTTAAGTAATTTGTCTAATTAGCAAGTGACCCAAACTCAGGTTTATATAGATTCAAAAGAGCTCATTTGTACTCTACAACCTGGATATGTTATCTAAGAATAGCTCTACCACTGGACATTTAGAATTGGACAGTTAACATCTCACCAAATAAAGCCTTTTTTTCCTCCAATTTAATTTCCTTAGAAAATGCTTTTTCAGGCCGGGCATGGTGGCTCACGCCTGTAATCCCAAACGCACTTTGGGAGGTGGAGGCGAGAGGATTACCTGAGCCCAGGGGTTCAAGACCAGCCTGGGCAACTTGGCCAGACCTTGTATCTACAATAAATAGAAAAATTAGCCAGGCATGGTGGCGCATGCCTGCAGTTCCAGCTACTTGGAAGCTTAAGGCAGAAGGATTGCCTAAGCCCAGCAGGTAGAAGCTGCAGTGGCCATGAGCTCCAGCCTGGGTGAAAGTGAGACTCCAACTCAAAAAAAAAACAAAAACAAAAACAAGAAAACGATTTCCCAGAATGGGATCAATGAATAAATAAAGTAGATAATCCTACTAACACATAATAATGTTTTTTGAAAAATTCTCACAATACTTTTATAAAAAGGAAAATTAACAATCCGAGGATCTAGAAATCCTTCCCATAGCTCAGTGGGCAATGTTCTCTTCCAATTAGTCAGCCATTCCCCAAAGAGCCCAGGGAAAAAAAAATTTTTTTCTTTTTTTTGAGTTGGAGTCTCTCACTCAGTCACCCAGACTGGAGTGCAGTGCCCGGCCACTGCAGCCTCTACCTGCTGGGCTCCAGTGATCCTTCTGCCTCAGCCTTGCAAGTAGCTGGAACTACAGGCGCACGCTACCACACCCATCTAATTTTTTTGATTTATTGTAGAGATGAGGTCTCGCCAAGTTGCCCAGGTAGGTCTCAAACCCACGGGTTCAGGCAATTCACTCACCTCAGCCTCCCAAAGCACGGGATTACAGGCTGAGCCACTGAGCCCAGCCTTTTTTTTGAGCTGGAGTCTCACTCTGTCACCCAGACTGGAGTGCAGTGGCCGCTCCTGGCCACTGTAGCTTCGGGGAAGAATTTTAATGACTTTTCTGGTTGGGTGTAAGGGAGAACTTGCATTGAGGATGTGAAGACAGTTTGTATTCCAACATTTCATTTGGCCCGCCTTCAAAAGCTCATCTTTTTCATATTTACTGATTTGACAAACAAATTAAAATGACTTTGTTTTGATTTACATTTATTTGATAATTAGCAGGGCTGCACCTATGATTACTCATAACATATTTATTCTTTAATAAAAGATCATTCATGAAACAAACTTTTTCTTAAGCACTCAACTAGAGGGAAGACATAGCCTAAAAAGTCCAAATTTTTCCAACACTGTAAGTTTTTCCAATGGTCTTTATTGATCAGTTTGTGAATAAATGTCTATCAGAGTAAGCAGATTTGGGACCAAGCACTGACTAGCAGAGATGCCTGCCTGATAATAATAGCTAAATACAAGGCTAACCTTATACTGAAAAACATAATGCAACGACTATAAGTACAGTCTACTTACTGTGCCCCTTAACATGAAAAGGGCTCTTGGGTATGAATGATCTTAAGAGGCACCTGCAATTAACTATCAAAATATAGTCAAATCATCTGAAATTGTGATGGACTAGATAAGGCTTATTTACTTGCTAGCATATTACCTCTGAAAAAGGGTTTGCCAATCTAGTCAATAACATGTAAAGAATGCTTACTTTTGTACTAGGTACTGTGCACTTTACCTGAATTATCACTTCATTCAAAATAAAAATACAAACAAATTGAGGAAGGGGATATTAACATTAAAAATTTTAGGCAAATAAATCTTTATAATTAAAAAGCCATTTCAAGATTAAAGCACTCTTCCTGTGCTTAAAAGAAAAGGTAGTTTTTTTGCTGGGCATGGTAGTTACACCTGTAATCCCAGAACTTTGGGAAGCAGAGATGAGAGGACTGCCTGAGCCCAGGAGTTCAAAATCAGCCTGAGTAACTTGGCAAGACCTCATCTCTACAGTAAATCAAAAAATTAGCTGGATGTGGTGGCATGTGCCTGTGGTACCAGTTGCTTGGAAGGCTGAGGTAGAGGATCACCTGAGACCAGCAGATCGAGGCTGCGGTGGCTGTGAGTATGCCACTGCACTCCAGCCTGGGCAACAGAGTAAGACTCCTACTCAAAAAAGTAAAAATAATAAAAAGAAAAGGCAGCTTTTTAAAGTCTCTTAAATAAGATATTTCACTACTTCAGACTATTACTCCTCCATATACTTTGGATTTTTATATTACATTCCAGGGAAAACCTAAATTAACAGTAAAGATGGCCTAGATGCCGACAGGTAGCTAAATTCAGTATTAAATAGTCCTCACAGAACAATATCCAACTGTATCTGAATTAATAATTATTACCTCTTTCCTATTCTTAACTACCTAAGTTTTTTTTTTTTTTTTTCTCAGGCAATCCACTCACCTCAGTCTCCCAAAGCGCAGGATTACAGGCTGAGCCACCAAGCCCAGCTACTACCTAATTTTAAAATCCAAAATCCTATAAAGGAAAACATTAAATCATGTGTTCTCCCTTAGTTTCCTTAATTCAAAAGGCAAACAACAGTTCCACAAGAACATACCTGTACCACTTGTTTCTGTGGTTGTGTTGACTGTGTCGCTGAAATCTGTGTTTTTTCCCGAACACTTCGGCAACGGTCACTGCTCACTGAAGTCATCATATACAGTATATACAAAATAATGTATGACAAAATAGAAAATCTGCAAGAAAGCAAGGATGATAAGCAAAACTTTCAAATCATAGTAAAAGGCAATCATATACTTCAGAGAACAGGACACATGAGATAAAAGTCCTCTGGAATACAAATTCTCAAGAAACAGCCCTTTAGGATTAGGATTTTAGATTTTGCTAGTAGCTTAGATGAATTTTATTAAGGCAGTCTCAAAGTCTATGGCTTATGATCGTAGCAATTCTAAAATAATTACATCACGATATGTAGTTATTCTTTTATGTAGTTCTATCTGCCTCTCCCCACTTGCAGTTGGTATTTGAACCCAAAGGCAACATTGCATCCAGTAAAAGTTTTACCTGGCAATAACCCAATTCAAAATGTGATGTTTCCCAGGCCTGGTGGCTCACCACTATAATCCTAGCACTTTGGGAGGCTGAAGCAAAAGGATTACCTAAGCCCAGAAGTTCAAGACCAGCCTGAACAACTCTGCAATAAATAAAAAAATTAGCTGGGCGTGGCTGCACGCACCTATAGTTTCAGATACTTGGAATAATAAGGCAGAAAGATCACCTGAGTCCAGCAGGTAAAGGCTACAGTGGCTGTGAGCGTGCCACTGCACTCCAGCCTGGGTGACCAAGGGAGACTCCAACTCAAAAAATAAAATAAAATATTCCACGGGTTCGGTGGCTCAGCCTGTAATCCCGCGCCTTTTGGGGACTAAGGTGAGTGGATTGCCTGAGCCCGTGGGTTCGAGACCTGCCTGGGCAACTTGGCGAGACCTCATCTCTACAATAAATCAAAAAATTAGCCGGGCATGGTAGCACGCGCCTGTAGTTCCAGCTACTTGGAAGCTGAGGTGGAAGAATCCGCGGAGCCTAGCAGGTTGAGGTTGCGGTGGCCGGGAGCGGCCACTGCACTCCAGTCTGAGCGACAAAGTGAGACTCCAACTCAAAAAAAAAAAAAAAAATCCAAAACAGGCTACAAATTTCTAGGATTATATTTCCTAGTACTTTATATATCATCACAGTCCTTTGAATTTCACTGTACTTATATGCAATTTATATTTTAGCTAGTCTATTCTCTATTTCATCTTTGATTTGCCATCCTAGTCTCAGTATTATAAACAAGAACAGACATTCATTTTATTTTGTGTTGTTCCCTTCACTCAGTAGCTGCTGATAAGAGACATTTTGTTTTGTTTCGTTACATTTTTGTAGAGTGCGGGGAGGGGGGTGGCCTAGCTATATTGCCCAGGCCGGACTCAAACTTCTGACTTCAAGAGACCCTCCCAGGTCGGATGCAGTGGCTCATACTTGTAATCCCAGCACTTTAGTAGGCAGAGGTGAGAGGACTGCCTGAGCCCAGGGGTTCGAGACCATGCTGGGCAACTTGGCAAGACCTAGTCTCTACAATAGATCAAGAAAAATTGGCCAGGCACAGTAGTTCAAGCCTGTAATCCCAGCACTTTGGGAGGCCGAGGTGAGATTGCCTGAGCCACAGGTTCGAGACCAGCCTGGGCAACTTGGTGAGATCTCATCTCTACAATAAATCAAAAAATTAGCTGGGCATGGTGGCGCTTGCCTGTAGCTCCAGCTACTTGGAAGACTAAGGTGGAAGAATCACCTGAGAACAGAAGGTCGAGGCTGCAGTGGCCCTGAGTATGCCACTGCACTCCAGCCTGGGCAACAGAGTGAGACTGACTCAAAAAAAAAAGAAAGACAGACCCTCCCACCTCAATCTCCCCAAAACACCGGGATTACAGGCATGAGCCTCCACACCCAAAGTAAGAGCCATTTGTTAAATCGACTGAAAATGATATAAAGACGGTGATAATTCTTAAAAAGACTAACAAAAGACCAAATCATAGGAGACTCAATGATTTCAAGAATAATACATGGAATTCTGTTTTCCAGAACAATCAGTTATAGAAATATCAAAGCAAGTAATCATATGATGTGGAACAATATTCCCCTATTTGTAAGTTATACATTTCAGATTATTAAAATGGAATTATGCTAGCATTTCCACATATCTTTAGGATCTGCATTTCATAAACTTTAAAAGAGGAGACTAACCATAATCCATCATACCAATTCAAGCATCAAAGAAAATTATGTCCTTGAAACCTATTTTACCTAGAAAAGGTCTAACAAGCTTTTTTCTGTTAGCTATCCTAATATTTTTTACTTATTTTTTAAAGCAGGTTCGTTAGCCGAATTGCTAAATAAAGGCCACAGACATATTATTGTGTGGTCTTTTACATTATAATAGCAAATAATTAACTAGAATATCTCACAAGCCTAATAGGCTGGTTTAAAACTTTTTACTGGCTAATTCATTGTTTTGGTTTTTTTTTGAGTTGGAGTCTCACTCTGTTGCCCAGGCTGGAGTACAGTGGAACACAGACAGTCACTGCAGCCTCAACCTGCTGGGTTCAGGCAATCCTTCCACCTCAGCTTTCCAAGTAGCTGGAACTACAGACATGTGCCACCATGCTCACCTAATTTTTGTTTTTAATTTATTGTAGAAATGAGGTCTCGCCATGTTGCCCAAGCTGGTCTTGAACCCATGGGCTCAGGTAATCCTCTTGCCTCCGCTTACCCAAAGTGCTGGGATTACAGGCATGAGCCACCATACCCAGCCCCAATCATCGATTCTTAGTATATTGCATAATGAATACGTAATTAAGCTATAAATGATGACCCAGTTTCATAGCTAAACCAGAATAGCTGCTTTGTAAAAAATGAAAAGCATATTGCTCACTTTATGTTTAAGTATTGTTTCAAACTAACAGTTTTCTCATTTAATTAAGGTTTACTGCTCTGGGTTATACATTCAAAAATTGTTACTACAAAAGGTCATTGGCTTAAAAATAGCAAATATATTCCTTGAAAAAAAACTTAGGCCAGGCACAGTGGCTCAAGTCTATTATCCCAGCATTTTGGGTGGCCGAGGTGAGAGGATTGCCTAAGCCCATGGGTTTGAGACCAGTCTGGGCAACTTGGTGACCAAGATCTCATCTCTAAAAAAAAAATACCTTAAACATAATAATGGCCCCAGAACATGCAAAGATGTGTGCTTAAGCAAATTCAGACTAACTTTTCTGTCAATTATGGCTCTTCATACTAACACTGAAATGTCACAGTAGCTAATTTCCTATTCATAAAAAATGTCTTAATGTTGATGATGTCCAGCAAAAAAAAAAAAAAAAAAAAATTTCCAGGGATGAAACTAAGGTTTTGCAGAAGACGCATGAGAGGTGGATGGGAATGTGACTAAAATATTCTGGAAAAACAGATTTCACTGGACATGGAAGCTCACGCCTTTAGTCCCAACACTTTGGGAGGCTGTAGAAGCAAGAAGACTGCCTGAGACCAGAGGTTCGAGACCACCCTAGGCAACTTGGTGAGACCTCTTTTCTACAATAAATCAAAAAATTAGCCAGGCATGGTGGTGCATGCCTGTAGTTCCAGCTACTTGAAAGGCTGAGATGGAAGGATCACCTGAGCCCAGC